TATTATTATAATATTATTATATTAGCAGCAGAATGTACATCAACTATTTAAAGGACATATAAAACTGAAATCATATTTCATAATGTGAAGCTACTGTACAGCTCCAAAGGTTGTGATTAATCATTTTTTCGATTGAAAATGTATTCACTTCTTTTTTAGTCGGTTGCGTTATCTGGATAATTTAAGGACTAAAACCCCAAACCACAAAATATCTGGAACATTGACTGATCTTTAAAAGACAACTCAGATAATAAGATAACTCAATGATACGTTTGGAATTTTCCTGTTTCATAGGATCATATTAATTCAATTCAATTCATTTCAATTTAATTTTATTTGTATAGCGCCAATTCAAAACAGAAGTTATCTCAGGACACTTTTCAAATAGAGCAGGTCTAGACCGAACTCCTTATAACATTATTTACAAAGCAGCAATGAAAAACTGCCTTTTAAGGGCTTAAGGTTTGTCTCTGGATCCAGTCAATTTGCCAAAAAAATTAGGCCCTATACCCTCTCCTAAACACTTTTCCTTAACTTCAATGGAAAGTACCATGGGGTCAAGGTAAGATGTGACCGAGAATTCTTAAGGACTAAGGAAAAAACAACCTCAGTGAATCCAACTGCACTTTACTATGCTACATAATTATGCAATGGCGGATGTTGACGATGTGAAATTACAACATTCTGCAGATGGACTACAAAAGGCGCATTTTAGATACTTCGCACCTGCATTCTTATTGTGTTGTGTCATGTAGGCGATATGCACACATGGACAACCCAGTGAAAAATATGACTTAATTTTCATGGTTGGAAATAAAAAAAAAGAATCAATATAGGCAACCAGTCATGACATAGTAGGTCTACAAATCTACTCGAGTCTATATCATAATCTTCTACTGCACATGGCAAATATTCTTTGTACTTAATACAGTGATCTTTTGCACATTGCTGCATAATCTTCCATTTACAATAAAGGCCATGTTGTACATATTGTCTATTATTGTCTTTATAATATTTTTTCATATATTATTGTTATTTTTCTATTGTTCTATTTCTGCTTCTTGTTTATTTTTATACCGAGGCATATTCTTTGAGAAAATCTACTTGGCAACAAAACTCTGAATCTCATATTGTTAAGTTTCAGCATCTGTGACTGAAGAACATAAAAATATCAAAATGATATTCCTAAAGCCTGGCAACACAACAAGTCCAATATCTAATGGAACAACTAATGCTAACACTACGTTATGCTGTGACGTATAAACTTTAAAATTTGAATCAAATAATGTTTATATATACATGTTCCAAAGTGTTTCAAACAGGGCCACAACTTCATAACAAGTAGACTTTGCAACAGTAGTCGCCTAACCCTGGGTTTAAAATATTGTTCCCAGTAAACATGTGTATTAGAAAGTTATGGCATAAGATAAAAATGGTACAGTAACAAGAAGTCGATGTGTTTCCTTTGATAATTTGTATTCATGAACGGGCAACTTTTTAAAAATAATTGTGGGACTCCTTTGTCGCATTGTAAAGGATGGTATTGTGAAATACTTCCCGGGTCCCTTCACTCAGTTAGGAACCTTCCTAAACAAAAAAGACTATTTGACCAGACCCTCTCTGTCCTTCCTCTGAATTCCCTATTCCTCAGGTCCTTTGATTTCCATTTTACATCCATCCACCAGATGTCCTCGGATTGTTCTCAAAACAATGAGTTGAAAATCTCTGAACAATTAGTTTATTCATGACAGATTGGAATTTCTCATTCATTCAAGCACATTGCATGTGCAAAACAGTGAGGACAATACCCACATGCACATGGCTCATTGATCAACACTGATGAGCTGATTGTCAGTGAAATTGTCAAACTCTTCACAACTTCTAAACATTCTTTCATCATTTGAGCCGTCACATGCAAAATGATCTATTCAGTTATCAAACTCTTGCTAAATTTACAAATTACCTAACAAGTTACTGTAATGAATGAGAAATCACAATCAACATACTGTGAGGAGGTACAATTTGTTGAAATTTAATGAAATACTGCTGTTTTTTTTACCCTCGGTTTTTCTACATGTGTCAAATGTAAGTGTAAAGGAGGGGTGCTTGCTGTTCTAGTTAATAAGAGATGGTGCAATCCTGGTCACATTACGGTCAAGGAATGTGTCTGTTGCCCGGACGTTGAACTGTTTGCAGTAGGACTCCGATTATATTATTTGCCCTGGGAAATCTCACATGCTACTGTGGTGGCTGTTTACATTCCTCCCTCTGCTAACCATTCATCCGCCATTTCTCGACTACAGACCCAACACCCGAATGCCCTCTTAGTAATCTTGGGTGCCTTCAACCATGTCACCATGGCAACAACACTGCCCAACTTCACCCAGTATGTGAGTTGTCATGTGAAAGAGGAGAAGACACTGGAATTGTTGTATGCAAACGTTACATACAGCTCTTCTCATCCTGAATGCCCAGAAGAGGACTCCTAGAAATGGTGATAGGGAGGAGGTGAAAATGATACAGGGGGATCTGAGAGTGAAGGTCAGTGAGGCTAAGGAGAAATACAGGAGGAAGCTGGAGTGGAAACAACATGAGGGATGTCTGGAATGGAATGAGTCTCCAAAGGGTCCCTGTGGTGTGGAAAACATCCTGTGTTCCTGTGTCAAAGACACCACGTCCCAGTGGCTCCAAAGACTACAGATGGATGGCATTGACCTCCCACATCATGAAGACCCTGGAGAGACTGGTTCTAGAGCAGGTGCGGATCGCATCTACACACACCTGGAAAAGCTGGCTGGTAAGGGTCATGTTTTTTGACTTCTCCAGTGCTTTCAACACCGTCCGGCCAGCTCTGCTGCGTAAGTAGCTGACAGCAATGGAGGTGGAAGCTCGCCTTGTGTCCTGGATTAATTAATTAACTACCTGACTTGTAGACCACAGTATGTGCGCCTGTAACACTGTGTGTCAGAGTGGTTTGAAGGTCTTTTCTCCCTTCCTCTTCACCCCCTACAAAATGGACTTCAACTACCACAAAGTCCTGTCATCTTCAGAAGTTTTCTGATGGCTCTGCTGTGGTGGGGTGTATCAGCAGGGGTGATGACACTGAGGTGTGGACTGTGGTGGATGACTTTGTCACAAGAAGTAGTAGAACCATCTACAGCTCAATGTGACTAAGACTAAAGAGCTTGTGGACCCGAGGATGGCCAAGGCCCCACTGACCCCTGTTTCCATCCAGGAGATCAGTATAGACATGGAGACATGTGGAGGATTGCACGTACCTGGGAGTTCACATGGACAATAAACTGGACTGGGCTAAGAACACTCAAGCCCTCAAGGACCAAAGCCATCTCTATTTTCTGAAGTGGCCGAGTTCCTTCAACATTTGCAGGACCATGCTTTAGTCTGTGGTGGCCAGTGCTATCTTGTTCGCTGTTGTCTGATGGGGCAGGTTGAGGGTAGTGGACGCTAACAGACTCAATCCAAGATTCATGCCATCTTGGACAATGTCTCCCACCCACTCCACAATGAACTGGTCAAACACAGGAGTACTTTCAGCGCGATATTTTAACATGGGGCCTTATGGAGATTAACTCACATCTGGAGCCAGCCTCAAGTGGACATTTGAGGAGCTGCAGTTTTTGTCACTTACGGTTTCACTTCATTTGCCATTTGGAGGTTGCAGGCTTGGTCTTTAAGTTAAGCTGAGCTAACCATGTCCTGACTGCACCTTGCTTTACACACAGGCCTAAGAGTGGCATCAATCTTCACATCTAACTCTAAGGGAACAAGAAAGGTCCGTTCTTACTGTCTCAACTCAACATTGCACTCAAATATTAAAGGTTAATAAAGTCAGTGATGGTTAATATATTAGTTACAGGATCAAAAATAGCAAATAAATTTACCATGAGGGTCAAAATCATTGTAGTACTCTGGACAGCTCTGCTCTGTTGTGACGCCGGCTTCAGTTTCATCCCAGCACAGCCACCCATCCCACGTCGTGTTGCACTCTATACCTGCTGACAGCCAAGGACACACATGGCGGCTGAATGTTGGTATGCAATGGTGTAACAGAAACATTTTCCTCTGAGCTCTGAGGCCATTTGAGAAAATCTTCCCACCTATTGTTTTTGTTTTGTGGTGTGATTTTTTCACAATCCGCTGGAAGCATTCGTACTGGGCCATGGCGATTTGGTTCCGTGTCGACTGATGTTCACCCCGATGATTCAGATGCTCCTGGTGGTATTCATCATCAAGGCTTGCAGCCGAAAGCAGCTGAGATGATGGAAATTAAGCACACACATATACTCATATATCAGGTATTGTATCATTTGAATGCAATTTTTAATTTTAGAGCCCATACATTAGCAATTGTGACAGTCCTTTTAAATGGGCATATTTCACATATGATAGTATAATGTGGTAGTGGGAGAGCAAATATCCCTCCTGAGTTGCATTATAGGATATGCAGGATCAAGTTTAACCAAGTTTAGTATATCTCATCTTCTGCTGCTTTTAGTTTAAAACATTCAAGTCCCTCAACTTAATAGAAGCACAATACTAAATCACTGAGTATTCAAGGTTGCAAGGTTAATTTATTTATTGTTCTACAATACAGGGTTGTGCAGTGAAATGCAAGTTGTAGCCCTTTAATGCTACTCACAAAACAAACATTATTTGAATGGATAAATAGTTTTAAATGGCAGGACTGAGTGCTGACAAGAGCTTGTAGAAATGTACTTATGGTTATAAATATTTTTACAACAAGAGATACCACCAATGTATAGCCAAAATACAGGAAATACAGAAACTTAAACGACAAAAAATGTAGTAGAATAAAGTATCATACTTGTAATTAACATTATGTACATTTCCAACTTTTTAACCATGGATTTATCTCACTATTGTTTAAGAAAATGTTTGAAATTCTTGATCTTATAACGAATAGATGATCTAAAAATCAATACTGTAGTTACAAAAACATGATTGTTGCACAACTGCACAGTTCAGATACAACAGATACCTTATTGAGGGCGCACAGGACCAGGAGAAACATGAAGCCGTTTTGATCCATCTGTGCTCGGATCGTCGTGGGTATTCTGAGGAAAGTTGACAATAGTTTGTCACTGAGAAAAGGAAAACATATTAAGACTTTATTATCTGTTTCAGTGCACTTAAATGAGACACTTAAAGGAAACAAATGGTGCTTTGTGACTCAAGCTTTAGTCCTATTTCTGTTTCACTCAGTTATTTTTATGTCATTCGTAGGAACAGGTAAAACTTTTAGCACTATCCCAAATAGTTTCCCCCAGAGCTCAATAAAAAAAGAGCTTCCTGAGTTGCAGCAGCTGCCAACGTGATCCGACACACGATGTGTTGACAGGAGCTGGATCCAAACTCCAGTTCACGTGCTCTGCGCTGTCACATGGATATTTTAATTCCATTAGTTTGTTGGTTTAGTACGTTTATGTATTTATTCATATAGACATTAAAATTACCTTGTAGTTAACTTTCTATTACTAAATTAGAGCTCAACAATATTTTATTTTTTTACAGTTTTAACTGAAACAGAAAATACAGTGGATGTAAGATCAGTTTTATTCTAACTTGCGATTACTTTTAACAATGTCCTGTTCCCTGACCTTTGCCCTAATAAAAAAAAAACCAATATGATACCACAGCTATGTCTCCAAAGCCATGTTTTTAATTTGTAAAGGCAAGTCTCCCCTTTTTGGATGTTGGGGTTGCAGATTTGGCCTTTTGCTTCCTGCGTTTCCCCGCAGCTTCCTTCCTGCATGCTTATTATGCAAGTTTAACCAAAGTTTAGCCAAAAGACATCAATATAGCAAATGCAGTCAAGCATGTGCTGCAGACACAATTACATACAGTAAACAGATGCTTTCATCAGCGAACTGAATGCTTCACACGCTGATAGAAACACTGTAAAAACCAAAGTATTTATTGTTCAGGTAACTTGGGTAAATTAAGTTTATTGTAGGAACTGAAATGTTTCTACTTTATACCACTTAAGTAGTTTTCTTCCACTAAAGCAAATTGCTGTAATCAAGTTGTTAACAATACTTGTTTCTTATGTTTAATTGTTCATATGATGATTTATAAACTGACATTCCCTGTAATGATATAAAGTAAACTTAAAGAAAATGAGTCAGTGGAACAAACTGGAAGCATATCACCAATCAATACTTAAAATACTAGACAAATGTAAATTAACTCAACTGAGTTATTACTTAGAATTTTTGAGTTAGCTTTAATTTAGAGGATTAAGTTATGCACAGTGAATGTTAAGCAAACACTGTGTGTCCATATGGTTCTTGCAAAGACTGTAGATAGAGCTGAAACATATGCAAGCAGCAACTTACTCAGTATTTCAATAACACACGATAGATGAAAACCAAATTAAAAATACTAAAACCTGTTGTACAGTTAAATCCTATTCTATCAGAATAACCTATCCAGAATAGATTAGCAAAAAATATTTTTTTTTTCCATAAAGTGAATTTCTGAGGTCATCTTTTCCAATAATAATAATAATGTGTCCTGCTTTAGAAGAGGTGTGACAGTCAGTGGGAAAGCAGTGGAAATTATGACAGTTCTAACTGTATTGGGGGTACAGATGGTGTTGAAACTAGCATTTGTCCAAATCTCTTCTCTCTTTCTAGTATAAAATCACAATGTATGGTTTTATTTAAATAAAAACTGTAATTAATAATTACCTGCACCCTCGACAGCCCCTGTTTTGAGATAGCCAGTGATGAATGTCTTCGCTTTACTGTATGAGAAAAATTTAATTCCAAAAACAAAACTAAAGCTATTGTAAAGTGTCCTAATTCTATATGTCCTATTATATATTTTTTTATTGTTACATTATATTTCAAATGTCCTGCAGTTTTAAATGTACCCTTCATTTACATTATTATACAGTAAATGAGTGATAAATGTCTTTATTCTGTAGAGATGTTCAGGCAAACGGCCTGGAGGAACACAGTGA